TATATATATATATATATATATATATATATATATATATATATATATATATATATATATATATATATATATATATATATATATATAACAAGCTAAGTATAGTTCTTTCTACGTACCTACTTTTGATTTAAGAAAATTTTCAGACACCCTTTTGTAGCCAAACTAATAAACTATATATGTTCGGTTAAAATGAAATCGGTTAAAATGCGTGCTGTTCTTAACCCTTTGAATGCGTGCATACTGCAGTATATCGCAAAATTAATTCGGCTAAAAAAGGCTGTAAAAATGTACATTTGGCAGGATTTTTCACACTTTAATAATGGTAATTTCTCCACCTACTGCAACTGGAAAGATAATCTAATTGACGTTCACCATAACAATGCAAGTGCTTTATAATCGGTGAAAGGTGTTCGCTGTGCCTGAGCTATGGCCTGGGGAAATGAAATCCCAGTTGTTATTCTGCTCGATCACTTCATATTGGAAATGTCCTCAGCGAAGAAACATAAAGGTTTAACACAGACCAATAGCGTATACATGTCCGATTTGCTGTATTTTACTCTGTGGTTAGCAGTAATTTTCAACAACAACCACGGGGAATGTGTGGAAGCAGGGCTGCAAATTACTGTCGGACATCGGACAATGTCCGACTAAATTTGGCAAATGTCCGAGCAAAAGTAATTTTGATCGGACATTGGTCCGATCACAAAAAAAAATTGTCACATTATACATTTTTTTGCTGTGACAAAATCCGATTGCAAATTCACTGAATTTGCATTTTGCAATAAAATATACAAGGCATTCTAGCATTTTACTTAACGTTGCACCAGAATGGCTATACATACTTGTCTCGTGACTTATATTATATCTTGTGACATATATATGTCTGATCAAATGTAGCGATGTTGGTTTTTGTCCGACCAAATTCAAGTTATGTCCGACCAAAATTAAAAGTGATCGGACAAATGTCCTGTCAAGTCAAATATTTGCAGCCCTGGTGGAAGCGACATTTGATACTGCTAATCACTTAACAAGTTGTCATCATTTACTCACCAATAATCTGTAGCAAACTCTCCTGCTAGAACTAAATAAAATTTGAAAAACATCCTTAATAACTCATCCAATTTTAAATATTTTCAAAAAATTATTTTTGCATATGAGAGAGTCATTTTTAAGTTTTCTGAATATGTAAAAATAAAACCCCCGATTTTTTGGACGATCTACAATCCTTGCCAAAAACTATGGGACAGGTACTGTAATTTCACATAATTTGAAAGGCGTAGCGCCCGCCGTTCCCCCAGTTCAATGTTGGGCCGACAAAAATCTGATGTCTGGTCGCGAGACGCCAACATTGAAAGGGTGGGGGGAGGGAGGGTGAAAAAAACGGATCACGAAATGGTATATAACTACCGAATGAATGTGAAAACTAGATTGTCCCAATCTATATTGTTAAAGATTGTAGGGTGTTCTGTAATCTTAAACAGTAACCTGCCATTTCGAAATGATCACCTCAGTTCTGCACTGACCACAAAAAGATCTAAACTCTGTGTGAATTCTTATCTGTGTTTAGCCCAGGCTCGCGTAAACGGGGCTTCATAAAAACCAATGTTACTTTGTACCACAGTTTGCATACTGTGATATCATTGGCAAATGTAAAGAAAGCTCAATAAAGCTTGTTCCGTATGAATCCTAAATGAATACACAATATTGCATGTTTAAGAAATTATCTCATATCTTTTAGATTTGCTTACAATTGATATGGGTGACATTACCAGTCAAAAGACTAGACTTCTTCTTTACTCCTGATGATACAGCAGCATATATTTGTCAGTACGTTTTTGATCACTGGCCAGAAGGTAAAACAATAATTGTACTACTGCAGTTAAATGCACTTTTCTATATGAGATTCGTCACACACATCCCCCGATTTAAGAATGGGATTTGCATACATATATGTACATTGCACAAGCTTATACATAGAATTTCAATGTTCTTGAAAACATAAGAAAGCTGTTGATGAATTGGTTTGGTACAGGAAGCAATTAAACATTGCCTCCTGCAACATGCATGGACAATGAACGATGATATACAATGGTTAAGTATACGTGCAAATGATTTCTGATTTAAAATCAGTTAATTCTACCCTTCAAAGCCTTTCTCATTGCGAAGTTTTACAGTCAATACTTTTGGCTTTTAATTAATTTGTTTGTTTATAATATGGCGTGTTATATTTTTTCTCTTTGTATGATATAGAGTGGAAGGAAGCAACAGTAACTTCTGCTCATGTATTAAAATTAATTCACCAGGGTAGATTTCTCCATGGAAGTGTATCTATTGGAGGTACTGTAACTGTTGTACTGCATGTATTGTAGCCTAGCATACGGTGCCATACCGAACCGAACCGGTGTAATACCATTGTCTGTAATTTGCAATATCCGGATACCACATGCAGGATACTAAAATTTTGGCACCAAGATGTGAATTAGTAGGCCGTTGGATGAGGGTCGAAAATGTTCAATTCCGTAGCACCCCTCGTGTAACTACATAATTTTTACATGAATCTATAGATTATAACTTACTTAGTTAGAATCCACTTCCCCCCAAGCGAAATAGTTGCACAAATTGAAGTACAAGCTCTTCAAAGTTCACGCTTCCTCGTGTTTCAGAATCCATGAACCGCCATTGTTGTGTTGCAAATACGCATGCGCCTGAGCACAAAACACGTAATGCGCACGCGCAGATAAGAAAAACTGATCTCAATCTAGGACTGGACAAGAAAAAATTATGAAATGTGCGAAAACAGGGCTGAAGTAAAACAAGATGACATCGGAATATTTTAAAAATATATGATATTTTTATGTTCTGTGCATTTTAATGGAGTTTACCAAACATTCTGAGCAATGTACCGTATCGAGCCCTCGCCAGGAACACTTCCAAGCCAACATTACAATAATAACTTATTTAAAATATTAATTAAAACATGATGTTATTTTATACTACAGCAATTGCATAACGTTTGCAAACAAATTTGTTTTTCAGGCTTTAAATATTATCACAATCCTAAACGTTCAGGGCCGTACACAGCAGGGGAGGATTATAGGGGCATATAGGCCTTACTGCCCCAGCTGATGAAAACATTCTGCGTACGGTCCTGTAAACGTTCTAGAACTCATACCGTAATTTATCATTTTGTTGGGGGGGGAGAGGGAAGGAGGGAGGTATTTCTAATATACACAAAGAATCTGTTTGCACGTTTTATTCTCTTTAAATATGCAACATCGAGTACTGTGATTTTCCGTAAAATATCATAATTATCTTTCAAGTTTCAAATACAATTTCAATCCACGATTTTATACATTAATTGCTTACAGGAGAGGGCCGGGGGTGGGGAAGAAGTGGTGCTAAACAAAGAAATGACTATATACCATAAACTAAGTATTACTCGGTATTCACAATCTTATTTATTCTCTAAATCTTTTCCCGTCAATTAATTTTATTAGTCCGGGTAATGGTTGTTTATTGGCTTTGCGTCTAATCCATTATTAAGCCAAAGAACGGAGGTTAACTCTTTGCCTCAAGGGCCAACGTACCAATTCTGAGTTACGCTGACTGGAACCTCATTACGACTCTGTTTTTGTACCAACCAATCCTCAAACACTCGTATTTCGTTGTTCATGTACGCCTTTAGCGTAGCCATGTTGGGGCTCGGGGGACCCGCCCCCCCCCTGGTAAAATTTTGGTGCCCCCTGAGAAAATTTATTCTATAAAAAGAAGTGAAACATAGCCCACCTACGTTTTTGCTGCCCCCCTGACCAAAAATCCTGCATGGCTACGTTTCTGGACATTTTGGAGAGAAGTGATGTTTTGATAAAGAGAAAACTACTCAGTCTGAGTCAGGTAATCTGTTGGTCTTGTTCCGATTTGCGTCTTAATGCTGTTGGATAACATATTTAAATTTACTTGAGTGAGAATGGACAGTGTGTTGTGGAAATTTAAAGCTGTTAATGCTAAATAGATAAGACAAAAACTCCCTTTCTCTTGGTATGCGCGCGTCGTATGCGCAAGTTATTATAATTAGATTGCAAACGTCACGCCATTAATGCTGTTGCATAACAATACCTCCTAAAATCTACTAAGCTATTTCCTTCTCCTTTGTTTTTTTTGATAAACTGATCACGATGATTGCACAAATATACTGAATTGGCGAAAAGGCGTTCGTGATAAAGGCGTGCATGATCAACAACGTAACACGAGTGTTTGAACACGAAATTGGCTGGTACAAAAACCGAGTGCGTAATGAAGTTCCAGTCAGCGTAGAGCCTGAACCTCCGTTCATTCTTATTAATAATGGATTAAATGCAAAAGAAATAATAAACAACGAACCTGGACTAATAAAATTGACAGGGAAAGATTTAGAAAATAAATAAGATTGTGAGCACCGAGTAACACTCAGTCATATTTAGGGAGTGGTCATTATTTATGGGGAGGGGGGGTTGGGAAATGGGAGGGGGGGAAACGAAGTTTTACCCTTATAAATAGGGGGGTCAAAAAAGTTTTAACACAGAGAAAGGGGGGGGGGTCATAAAAGTTTTTGAACTTAAATACCATGTCTAGAGTTCTGATTTCTATAATCACAAATAGCAAAAAAGAAGACTCTGAAAATGCTATTTCCAACGATCTAGAGACTCAAAATTTTCAAAATTACTGCTCAGCGCCAACCATGGTAGCGCCTCGCGATCGTGGGAGTTGGGCCCACTAAGTTTAACAAGCTTTCTACCCCCTGAGTGACCCAGTTGTGGTATTTACATAAACATACCATGCAAGTACACTTAACTGATCAGATTCGGTCTATCAACGCACAATGTAACGCTGTATATCCAAAAATCTGTTTCAGAAAATGCTCACATTTCAGTTCTAGGGGTGGAAAAATACAAAAAATTTTCTGGGGGAGAATACCCCCAGACCCCCTACTAGTACATACGATACCACACCAAACTTTTTGTCACCAACAACCATCTGTCGTCTCTACACACTCAATATAGTATGGTCCCTTTTTGTAGATGCCCACCCCCTAGACAAGTTCTTAAAATCTCATTTCGCTGTATGAAGACGGGTCATGGGTTAGGGTTATGGTAGGACAAATGTTGCATTGCAAAGTAGTAACACATAATATATATTTTTTAATCATATATGGTTGAATCATATTCACCAGGGGCCGGTTGTTCAAAGCTGGGTTAGCTTAACCCTAGGTTAACCTAAAATTCAAAGCAAACTTCCTGACAGCTTGTCTATAAATTTGGAAATATTTCTTCAGAGATCTTGTCTGGATGGATAGGAGTTTACTTGTCTGAAGTTTTGAAATAAACAGACGTGCAGAAATACACAAACTAAAACAACAGGTTAAACTTTTAACTCAGGGTTAGCGCTAACCCACCTTTGAACAACCGGCCCCAGGGTAAAACATCATGAGCTAGATTGAACAGATTGTCCCAATATTTAACTTTACCTGCAATGCACACCTGTTTCATTGCTGTTAATTTTTCAATCTACACTGGGTGGGGGGGGGGTCAGAAAAGTTTCTACTTTTATGAGGGGGGAGGCACAAAAAGTTTGCCTTCAGTCTGGAGGGGGGGGGGACAAAAAAGTTTTCAATCCTTATTTTCCCCATTTCCCAACTCCCCCCTCCCCATAAATAATGACCACTCCCTTATGGTATATCGTAATTTCTCTGTTTAGCACCCCCCACCCCTACTCCCCACCCCTTTCTCCTGCAACCAATTAATTAATGTATAAAATCGTGAAACATGAAAGTATTGTATTTGAAAGATAATTATGATATTTTACTGATAATCACAGTACCCGATGTTGCATATATAAAGAGAATCAAACGTGCAAAACAGTTGTATATATTAGAATTAAACCCCCCTCCCCTAATAAATTGGATAGAGAAATTACGGTATGCATGTTCTAGAATATTTAGGATTGTGATATTATTTAAAGCCTGAAAAACGGATTCGCTTGCAAACGTTATGCAATTGCTGTAGTATAAAATAACATCATATTTTAAATAAGTTATTATTATAATGTTGGCTTGTAAGTGTTCCTGGCGAGGGCTCGACACGGTACATTGCTCAAAATGTTTGTACACTCCATTAAAATGCACAGAACATAAAAATATCATATATTGTTAAAATATTCCGATGTCATCTTGTTTTACTTCAGCCCTGCTTTCGCACATTTCATAATTTTTTTCTTGTCCAGTCCTAGTTGAGATCAGTTTTTCATATCTGCGCGTGCGCATTACGTGTTTTGTGCTCACGCGCATGCGTATTTGCAACACAACAATGGCGGTTCATGGATTCCGAAACACGAGGAAGCGTGAACTTTGAAGAGCTTATACTTCAATTTGTGCAACTATTTCGCTTGGGGGGAAGTGGATTCTAACTAAGTAAGTTATAATCTATAGATTCATGTAAAAATTATGTAGTTACACGAGGGGTGCTACGGAATCTGTTTTCTGAGCATATTTTCGACCCTCATCTCACGGCCTATATCGCCCATCACTAATATTGTGAATCACTTGTATAGTTCTATTTGATAGAAGAAAATTTCAAACATTTAGATATCATTTAACATTGGTCTTACCGAAAACTCGCGGAAATTAATACCGTAGCTGGCTTGAATTTCTGTTAACTACAGTATAGTGCATTGCTTAGTACTAGTATAGCTACGAGAGACGTGGAAACTTTGTTATATATACTTGGCTCTTGAATAGTACCGAAACTTATGGTAACTAGTATCCAAAACTGCATGGGATACATGATTCTCTGTAGGAATACAACTGGTATCCCAGTTGGATACTGTAAAATAATTTAAATTCCGGACCCTGAATACACCATGTACAAGTTTATATTAAAGTACGAACACGATTTCCCCGACAACTAGTAATTGAAGTTGTACCTTTGGAAAGTGGTTGATGTCTTGCCTCTTGGTGTGGTAAAAATCATTATAAAAATCCACTTAACATTTTTTATATTGAATTTTTCTCAACCACTTATATAATGATGTTTAAAGAGGATATTAACAATATTTTAATGCAACGCTTACAGTACAACCCTTTTAATGTTACTGTATATGTTAATTGGCGAATGCAGTTTACAGATAAATTAATTAGAATATTGGAACTTGAATATTCTATTATTATTCCCATCCATAATTATCAACATTTTCACATGTGCCCAAACCGTGTGCTCTATAGGGGAAGGGGCTTAATCATAAATGCAGGCTTTTTAAAATGTTGAACTATCTGGGAGGGGAGAAGCGGATTGAAAAGACGTCTCTGTATTTCTGGTTGAAAAAGGAATACTTCTTTATGTTTTTATAGACTCTCTAAAATTGTTGATAATTGTAGTTGAGCCAAACAGAATATCATTATTAGGAAAGATACAACTGTAGTGTTATAACTACTTTAGTTAGGCGCTATTTAGCTAAATCATGATGGATTACGACTAGATCATTGGTCACTTACTCAGTTACTCTAATTTTAACGCTGTACACGCTTGTATAATTTATCGTATACAGTGGTAAAACAACTACACATTTTGTTCTTTTGTAGCTTTGAATCTTCCGTTAGGTAAACGTAGCGTAATGCATTTAGTGGCGAGAGAAAATTTACCTGAACCTCCTTCACAAGGTAAGGAAATACCATATTAATAGCATGACGCGATTTCCGAAAAAGGAACAGTTTAACCTGCAGTTTAACTCCATATTAAAGTACATGGCAAAGCACAAATAATGCATGGACCAGACACAATCTTGTTTTGATTTTTTATTGAGCACTCGCGTAGCGAGGTTACTAATTAATCCGCTTGGCTATTTACACCCGTAAAAAAGCAAGAGGATTGAAAAGTACATCAATGATCGCGATTGCACGTGGTTATTCTATATTTGGTTGTATGTCTACAGATTATTCTCATGCAGTAGTGAGCAAGCGAAGGCCTACAAACATATCGAAAAATTTACGAGTATAATTATACTCTGATGCTCCCTGGCATATCGTCTTGGCTCGATTTAGATTTTAGATCAATTTTATCGCTGGGCGACATATAGTTGCATGACGGTTAAAATATGCCAAAGTTTTGTCCGAATGTCTTACTTAACATTGACATTGTATTTAACCGTTTTCATGCAAACGACAAAAAAACAATTAGTTCTATTGGTACAATTTTGCAAATTATTAATTTTACCACATATTATCATCTGTATCCACTTCCTGAACAATGCTATTTTGTTTAATAAAAACAATGTTGCATTCGTTCTCACATTTGGCATACGACTTCTACTACAACAGCACGCTCGTGATTTCGAAAAAGTTTAGGTACATGCATGCATGCATGCCCATTTAAACGTATTCCAAATCCCAATTTGTCTGATCCACATTTAGCATTTAGTTTAAAATATTCAGAACTTTGTTCTTTCAGTCACAAGAAGTACAAATATTACTACATTCAAGTAATATTGCTTTATTTTATTTACTTATTTGTGTATATATATATATATATATATATATATATATATATATATATATATATATATATATATATATATATATATATATATATATATATATATATATATATATATATATATATATATATGTATATATATGTATATATATGTATATATATATATATATTGATTAACTCTTAATCTATTTTCTGAAGAATTCTACATTTAATATGTCGTGCTTGCTTCCTAATGTTATATACATTTCTTTGTTGTACTTTTCACGCCCTGCGTCGATCGGGATAAACAAACAAGTCTTTGTTTGTTTATCCCGATCGACGCTGATTGGTTCGCGTTTGGCCGCATGGTTTCGTGCAGGCTCACCTTTTAACTCAGTGAGCCTGCTCGCAGGCTAATATTGTGCATAATCATAAACCAAGTTTGGAAATTGAATATTTTGTAATAGACAACTTGCATTTTAGACCAATTTTTAATCTAGGTAAAAAAAAGTAAATTCCCGTAAAGATCTTATTAAAATTAGTAAAATTGCAAAATTTGATTACGAAATGTTGTAAAATACGGGAAATATAGCCTTGCGAAGTTTACATATAAATATAAGTGATTTCGTTAGCAAGGCGAGGGGCTTCTGCATGCATGTATTATATCTAGTTGATTTTATTATTTAACCGGAACTTTTTTACCCACAGTATATAGAGTAGTTTCAAAGTGAACTAAATTATTCGAATTTGTTGGTTTCATGTAGGTCAAGCCAAGAGAGATAAGACGGAAAGACGAAGCCGCTGTTGCAATATTTTGTAGTACCCATTCACAAAAAAGCCGAACAATATGTCTTAATTGGAATTGAAAATGTTACTTTTAAACTGTAAAATTTTGTACAAATATTTGCACGGTAGCTTCAGCGCGTGTGTAAAATTGAGCATTGCAACTGCGTGAACGCACGTAGTTGAAATGACATTGCTGTACATACAGCCCAAATATTCAAATATTCAGTTTCGAGTGTAGCAGGGCAAATAATTTACATATTACATAGCCAGAAATGAAAAAGGTTGTATAAAAAGCTGCTAATTTTGGGACCAAACAAATAATCGTTCCGAAATTAATGGTAAATCTTAATTGGCAACAGTAGCCCTTACCACATTATTCCACATTGACCACTTTCATAAAGTCACATATCTAAATATCCTCTTACTACAATCTTAGCTGTCTTGAATTAAAAATAGATAATTAGATAACTTGAACGAAGCCGGGGTGGAGGCGGAATATTTAAAAAAAAAATACTCTAAATATTTCCAAATATTTATTATTTTCTAAATTAAATGTATTATTTGTTTCATTTTTAAAACTTATAATATTCATTTACCATGCATGTATAAATCTGTTATTCATTATTCCATGCACCGCCCCGCCGCCGGCAATATATGGCTCATTAAGATACACATAGGCTATAAGAATATTTTGATCTGTTTCTATATATTAAAAGTGCGTTGTTATAGGAATATTATTTCGCATATTGAGTATGCTGTGTTGCTAACAGACTAAACCTGCCTATAAGTACTGCCGTGTACTTATCTTAACATAAAATAACACGTTGTTCTTAACCCACACAACATCTTGGAATACGCATCAGAACCAACTTTTAAACGGGATGATAGTAATTTTTGCAACTCTGCCCACAACCGTATAAAATACCATCGACAACAGGTTTCTGGGCTTTCTTTCAAAATTTATTTAACAACGCTTGGTTGCTTAGTCATTCATATAATGATGGTGGTATTGTTAAAAAACCTCAGCAAGCTAGAGAGCAGGGAACTCCCGGCAACAATCTTCTGCAATATAGCTGGGAAACAAAATATGTTTCTAAATTTCTGTATATACCTGAGAAACGATAAAGAGAAAGGGGGTAAAGGGAAACGATATTTTAAAAACAATATTCTCTAGTGTGTCCAGAGCTTAGGGCATTTAAATAGGCTACAACTATGCCTCTTTAAAGTAATTTTACGGGCGGGAGAAATGACGTCAATGCTACAATTAGATTAGCAATGAGAGATTGTAGTAATACAGTAGGTCTTTCTGTCGAGTATTTGTAATTCCTGCTTGGTAAATTTTGAGCTGGGTTGAAGTCATATCGATTATCACGATTAATGTGGTGTGCAGGCGACATTTCGAACCAGTCAAGGCACGGTTTTAAGTTATTCATGCGGTAGATGTCGTCTTGACGTCATGTTGATTGAATTTTATGTAATAAGAATGATGTATGTAATTATAATATTGCTATAATACCTAATCGTAATAGTATATAAAGATATTTTGTCATTAAAAAAAAATCCCTGTAGTTGTGTGATGTAGAGTATGTATACGATAGTGCCGTAGCTTGGACTTTTTTAGTGTATATGTTTGTTGGGAGTGAACCATTACGATCCCACCAACTAAATGGGCGTGGCCCTCGACAAGTGTACGTCTATATACATATATAGGCCAACCATTGAACTATAAAGGCCAACTCATCAAAAGCCTGGCCGCCATGTTGGTGTTTCCAGACAAAAGAGTCTAATTAAAATTCTTTTGAATTGGAACACCAAAATCGTAAATCCCCCAAAATATATCGGGCAACCACTTCTGATTGTAAAAAAATTTCGAGGAAAACAGCTATGACTCAAAAATATATCGAGCAAGCATTCAGCTCTCACCCTTGCACAGTTGTCATGCGCAAATAATTATAGAAAGGACAAGAGAATTCTAGATGCTGTTATAACGCAGCTATGGCCGTATCAGTAAAACGCATTTCGTGATTTTAATTATATACAATCAAATACTTTAGAGACAGCTGAACTCTGTATTATTCGAATACAACTGCCACCTATATTCCACATCGCATATTTCTCGCCACGTTAATTAAGAAAACCGTGGTACTTATTATTAATTAGTTACTTCATTAATAACTATAGTGTTAAAAATGTATTCCATGCAAAATAGTACGTGTAAACTGTAGCTACCATGCATGTTCAAGTTCGATAAATTAATCCTACATTTTGATCAATTCGTCTACCTAATTTATCACTATTAGGTTTCAGAAAAGCATTTAATCATGCATGTATGTTCAAACCATTGTTTGGACTGCGTTTTTCAGTGACTCGATGAATCAGGAAAGTCATCACTCATAATGTCACAACGTAGGAAATGCTGTACAAAAAAAATCGAGCACAAAAAATTAACTCAACCCCCCCTCCCAATCAAAAATGTCATGGTCCACCCCTCTTAAGGCGGTTTTCCAGACCTCGCACGAAGCTCCTCGCTGCGAGTGCTTGCATCTAATTAAAATTAACTGTTTAGCATTGTGATTGGATGAAAGTGCTCGTGCATCACTCGCAGCGAGCTGCGAGGAGCTTCGTGCGAGGACTGGAAATCCGCCTTTATACTGTATTTAGTTCAAATGCAATCTCGTTCCCCGAGCCTGCGATCTTCGGGAAGGAACGCGAGGCTCTGGGATAATCCGTTTCAGGAAGGAATCTGATTGGCCGTTGAAATGAATGCGTAGTTCAGTCTTAGCCAGAATTCCTGGCTTCCGGCAACGGATTATCCCAGAGCCTTACGTTCCTTCCCGAGGATCACAGGCTTGGGAAACGAGATTGGTTCAAATGTCGAATACCGTCTAAACTTTCCAAAGTCCTTTCCAGGCCCTTCTATGGTGCGCTTCACTTGTGGCAAGTCCAAATGCCGTCGTTCAGACGAGAAAGTTAGACGGAAAAAGTTAGACGCCTAACTTTCCCGTTAACCGAATTTATATAAAAGACCTTACGATTATAGGATGGCAACGCGACGACCAATGCCAAAACAAACTCCTTCAAATAAATGGTAATAAAGATCATTCGTCGTATATCAATCATGAATCTAATACAGTCTTAGAAGTTGAAGACATGGGTTTTCTGTTTGGGAAGAGTTCTGCTGAACCCAGTTTGAAGTTGCACTTGTTGCAGCTTGAAATGCAGCCGTTGTATCAAGACGTGAAAATCTGTGATTTGGCGTTGTAAACAGAGCAAGGACAATGTCTAAATTATTCATATATTGTAATTATTCAATTCTTTTCAATGATTTATTGTATTGTATTGGTAGCCGTTGCCGTCGCGTGGCCGTCCTAAATCGTAAGGCCCACAACGTAACAGAAACGTAAACAAACGCACGCGTTGCATTGTGGTTGACCAGGACTCTTTAAAACTCACACGAAGCAAAACGAAAGCGATTCCCAGAGAAGGGAAATCTTGACAAAATCATTCGACATAAAGAAGCGTTGGGAAAAATTGTAAAAGAATTCACCTTAAAATACAAGGCGAAAAGGACAAACTACAAGAGGGAGTAGCGATCGAAGATGTTCAAAAATGGCGAGTCGATATTAAATCAATATTTAATAGAAGTCGAGGCGAGGACTGAGAACGAGAAACGTGAAGAAGAAAATATTGCTAAAACAACAATGAAACGAAGAACTGTATTTCGAAAAAATGTAAATTGGAACAAATGGCTAGCTTGGGTTCAGTTAGTGTCAAGTCAACAAAGGCAGAACAAGCAAAGGTGAGCAGTGTTAAAATGCCTAAGTTAGTAATAACAAAGTACGATGGTACATATGAAAGATGGCTGTCTTTCTGGAATAAATTTGAAGCGGAAATGTACAATACAGATCTCCCAGCTGTAACCAAGTTCTCTTACCTAAAGGAACTATTAGAGCCCCATGTAGATGACGCGATTGATGGGCTACTGTGACGTAATTATCATATTTAGTTATTTAAATTGATGTATATTAAGACTAAGAGGGTACAAAAAGGCAACCATGCGTACGATTGAGGGTCAGACAAACCAAGCGTTAAATAGTCAGTGCGACAGGACGAGGGTGTGGTTGAAAAGAAAATTTAATATACTGTGGAAAATAGTATTACTGATTTGGGTTTTTCGTTGACCAAGGAGCCGCTCAGAGAGATCTTCTTCAATGAGGAGAGTTGGCGAAACAGAGAAATAAAGAAACACAGAGTTTGTAGACCGAGACAGTGTCTAGAAGTTCAACGTGAAAGAAGTCCGCCGCTGAACGCGTCAATATATCAACTCAGTGACCATTGAAGCTCGATTAAAAGCATGGAACTGAAGGAACAGTTTGGTGGAGTCGAAAGAGCTAGCTAGCTGAACTTTGCCGTACCCTTTTTATCGTATGTATGAACATTAGCTATAGTATTGAGATTGTAGGCTAAGAGTGTTTTATAAATTATATAAAACCTTTACAAACAGTTTGAATTGATTGCCGGCACCCACAAGACGAAGTTAAATTCGTCACACTACCTTCACCATAAAGGGGTACACCTGTGCTAAAAACATTTTGAGAACCAATCAAGGTTGGATGGCAAGATTGGGGATTTGCAGTGGGCATTACACCCGGTGGAAAGTTCAACCGAACATAACCCTAGGACCTCATACAATCGCAACCACTCATTCTTCTCCAAAGATTCCTCAACGCCAAAGGGTTCACGTTTGCTGTGATGATGAACAGCACAAGTCGTATGAATGTAAGAAGGTTGTTACACCAACTGAGCGTAAACCAAAGCTACAAGCAAAGAAGTTATGTTTTAATTGTACGGGTGACAGACACCATGCAGCACAGTGTCGAAGTCGAGTTACCTGTTTTCACTGCAAGAAAAAAACAGCATTCGTATACGCGTCAATTTGTGACACTTTAGGGAAACCTCCACCTAACCAAATTCCAGGTGGAGTGGTAGGTATTCTCTTGAAAATTTTTTCTTTAATTCAGTTTATTTTTTATTTAGTTTATTCAGTTTATGTGAAAACGAAACCATGCAACCGTGACGAGCAGACGTGTAATTTTTTTGCTCCTTGTATTTTGGAACTAATAACTAAAATTATTATATACACAAGGTCTGGATATGAGGTATTCTGCAATCTGATTTGTTCTCTACTAGCAGGATATTAGCTCATATCCTGCTAGTAGAGGAAAACAAAATGGCGACCAAACTGAATTTACGATGTTTTGCAAACGAGAAAACGGCAAGTTGTCGCTTTTTATAGCCTTTACAGGATTAAAAACACAATAAAAAACTCCCACAAATTGTTTTCAGGTTAGCAAATAAATGTTTAAAATTTAAAATGGTTAAAAATATATATTTTTGAAAAAATAATCGGCCGAAAGAGCGAATATAAAAACATAAACAAAATAGAAAAATATTGAAAATATTCGAAAAGCAAAGTCTGTGAATTCAGACCTTGTGTATATAATAAAACAGTTATTCCACTCACTCTCGTCGAATATGAGCGATAGCCGATTCGGCGCTATGCGCCCATAGATATCTTATAAGATATCTATGTACGCGCCTCATCGGCTATCAGCTCATATTCGACTCGAGTTCGTAGAATAACTGTTAATTGTTTGCCCATTGATACTACACAGCTAGAAATTATTAACAATCGTAGATATACGAAGACATGGTTTTCTTATTAAATATTCTGCCCATTGCCTGGTCAGGAGATTTTGAGACATTGATGGTCAGTTGCTAAAATCCCAAAATTGCCAACAAACCCCCTTCTATTCAGTCCAAAAAAGTCGGACTGGCGGGACTGCATAAACCCAGAAGCAAACAAACATTGAATAGAATTGTTGCCCCCAATGTTATAATGGCGACAGATGTGAACGACAAATTAATTATCACTTATTTACTGAGACCGAGGGAAACAGTGTGTTTTGTAGACCCGAGACCGCCGTTGTTGCCCGAGGCGAAGCCGAGGACAACAACGGCGGTCGAGGGGCCACAAAACACACTGCTTTTCCGAGGTCTCAGTAAATAAGTGTTTTGTTATATAGTGTATAAGTGTCAAAGTACATATGAATAATTCACCTGTATTATTATTGACCGGTTATTGGAGTGAACTTAATTTGAAACCAAAACTGGATAAATGGAACGTCGTAAATGTTTAGTAAAAAGTTTAAAAAATGAACTTTGGAACTTCATGGTTGACACGCATGCGTATTGCACCCATTTTATTATTGACCGGTCAATAAATGTTTCATTGCGGAACGGTTGCCGAACATGACGTTTTGTGGACCGGCACATGACACAGTTTTGACCAATCGGCAAACAGAAAAATTGAACTTTGACACCAACTATATAACAAGTCGAGATAAGTAACAGAACAGTATATACTCTCTCTGTTAGACAAGGCTATATGCCAGGAAAACCCGAATCCACACATCAGATAAACCTTGGATTACCCCCAAAATTAAGTTGCAAATCAACTGAGCAAGGCAAAAGGCTTTCGCTCGAGGTGATAAAGTTTGACCAATGATCAATTATCGAAAACTAGAGTTGAAGACATTGTTTTTAATGTATTCGACACATGCCTAATATCATAACAAAAGCATGATCAATGATCAAAAATATTCCTCATGCTTCGATCTCTGACTGTCGTCACCGACTTGCCCCTGGTTTCGTTGTATGCTTAAACATTGCATATGCATGCATAATGCTTTTTGGCAGACAAAAGTACATCAATTAACCCATGAAATAGCATGCAAAGCATCACGTTATTTTAAAACGCCATACTGTGGTCCTAGTTGGCAGTTGCGGCACTGTTGATCCCATGTCTCCTTGTCAATTACCTTACAGTCAAATCATATTCAAACAAAAAATGAGCAGAAGAAATCCTATTTAAATTATACCAAACTGATCGACAACAATCGAGATAAAAATTGATTCGCTTTTAACGCTTGAAATGGACGCTTTTAGGCGTGGAATTACAATGTTGATTTTACGCTAAGCAGTGGTGCATGCCTAAATTACTTTGAATTTATACTCGAGTAAAAGTAGAAGTAATCAACAATAAAACGACTTGAGTAAGAGTAAAAAGTACTGGAGGCAAAACGTACTTAAGTAAAAAGTATCCTTAAAAAATACTTGAAGTACAAAGTAAAAGTACTATTGTCTGTATAGAGTGTAGGGGGGG